AGTATGGCTTCAAAGTATCATGCTTCAAAACCAAAACCTTGATTCTCTCCCTTCTCTCTCTCTCTCTCTCTCTCTCTCTCTCTCTCTCTCTCTCTAATTGTGGGTCCCTCCTCCTCTAGAGAGTTAAATCCGCCAAGAGTGAAATAAAAGAAGGAATTGCACATATAATGGTCCCATATATAAGCCCACTAGGCCTCATTAATTTAATATTACATATTTGAGCACTTATCACTAATTTAATCAACTTAATTTGATCCAAATCAATTTTCAATTAAATTTCACCGTAGGCTCTAAAAATTATACCAATCACAGTGGCGTAATCAATTTCGAGTTCTGTGGCCGATAAGGCCTTCAATTTAATTTCCGAAGCGGAAAAATCAAATAGATATTCCTACGGTGACACTACAAGAAATTGTATTTTTCGCATCGTAACAAAATATGTTGCTAAAAGGAAAAATTCGTCGGCAAAGAGTTTTGCCGACACACCAAGGTACGTTGGCAACCCGTAGGCAAAAGTGAGTCGGCAAAAGTTTTTGCAGATGAAATTACCATTGCGTTGGTAAAAGTAATATCTTTAGCGACGAACACAGTCGTCGATAAAAGCCTTCATCCATCGTCGGCAATTTACCTTGCGTTGGTAAAAGTCATTCAAATATGATGATTGTGTGGCACTTTTCGCGACGCAAATTTGCATGGGCAAAAAATATACTTTTAGCAACAAAATATGCGTTGGCAAAAGTAAACTTTTGGCAACACATTTACGTCGGTAAATGTTGTCATTTGCCTACGATTTGTTTGTCGATAAAACTTCACTTTTGGCAACGACAAATTAGTATTGGCAAAAAATACACATTTAGCAACACAATATGAGTGGGTAAAAGTAAACTTTTAGCAACACATTTACGTCGGTAAATATTTCCATTTGCCGACATTTTGTTTGTCGATAAATGTTTACGTTTGGCATTGGCAAAAAATACACTTCTAGCAACACAATATTAGTGAGCAAAAATAAACTTTTGGCGACACATTTACTAACAAAAATGATTGAAAATAATTTATATATTTTTATAAGATTTACAGATTTACAAGAGGCATCCCTCAGGCACCACTATTACAAACTAATAACATTGATATGAAATCACCTAAAGTTGATGTGCAAGCAAAAAAAACAGTACTGATACTACTTTTAGAAGCAATGTATAAAACCTAAAAAGGTAAAGTCACTAAAATACCCAAATACATCCAAATTGTGAACCTACATTAGAAACAACAGATAACAAAATGAAAACATGAAACTAACAAAGACAGCCAAAACGGCATGAAAATCACCCACAAACTTATCTAGCAGACCAACATCTAGTATCAGCCGACTCACAGCAACATTGCAGCAGCAACACCCCAGCAAGTATAAGTATAACGCTCCCATTATAAGTATAAGCAAATCTTACTTTGTCCATAGTATAAGTATAATGCTCCCATAGAAGTGTACAAAGCCATGCTCCACCCATTTGCCATAAAGCCCAAACAGCCTGGACTCGGTCAGGAGATGTTTTTGCCTATATATGTGACACCTGATGTGTAACCCAACCATTTGCTTCATAGTTCACCTGTAACATTTTGTGACTAAATAAAAACAATAGTGTTTATAAAGAATATAGAATGCTTAAATAGATCAATTTACCATGGAAAACACCAATCACAGAGTTCATCCTGGGTTTTGACCTACCTAACTACTTTGATGTACAAATTTTATATGCATACATACATATTTTATACTTATTCAGTCTTTCAAAAAAAAATAAAATACTAAGCTCCAAATGATGGCTTGCAGAAAAACAAATATACATATATACACAATACCACATGTGATCACACAAAATGAATAAAACAACAGTTCATAAGGACCATTAATGTTTGATAAATGAAAGATATTCTTACTTCGGCAGTTTTACTTCCATTGACCGACAGAGACAAAATGTAATCAAACAAGGGCTCATGGCACTCCTGAAGGTTGCATGGAAGGGAGGGCCAATAGTTCATTTGAAGATTAATATTCAAGTGTTCAGCGCCACTGGAGAGTTAAAAAGGAAAAGGTCGCATTTGTAGATGCAAAAATACATATGCTTTTTTTATCAACAGGAAGCAGAGAAATTATGTTACATCAGAAGACTAATATAAAATGAAGTACAGATTGAAAGGCAATATTGCTGTTTTTATGGCTTAAAAATTCTATCTTTCCAACTCTCTCCTATCTCTCTTAGAAGCTAATTTCTTAAAGGGGAAGAAAAAAAGAAAGAAGATTTCACTATGCGCTTGCATCAAGGAGAAAATTACAAGATACCATGCACAGAGAGAGAGAGAGAGAGAGAGAGAGAGAGAGAGAGAGAGAGAGAGCTTACTCCCATGCTGGCTCAATATCCTTGTTCCATATTCCCTGCAAGTTTGCCACTTGAGTTCCAGGCCGTGAACAGGAAATAAGTAGATATCAACCATACTGGAACAAAAGCTCCACTAAAGAGGGATCTTCATCAGTTTGAAAAGATTTCACCCTCTCTGCAGTTGAAACCATCTTATCTTCACTATTTTCTAAAAACAAATCAGTTGCAGAGGACAAATGTTTCTTCCTATCCAAACACCCATTTTCTCCAACATTCTTTGAGCTTTTCGAAAGCTGCAGTGAGACGCGATGAAAAAAGTTTTGATAGTCAACCAAATGCCGTGAAAAAGGTTTTGGTGCATCTGGGTTTGTGTAGTTTCCAGGAATCCCAGTCCAAAGTGTGTCCTCTGCCAAACAAATTCAAGTAATCTGCTATCAGTTTCACTTTTATATTGAGAGAGAGAGAGAGAGAGAGAGAGAGAGAAAGAGTAGAACAACAGTTAAACTTCACAAGTTTCATCAAACTTATCTCCATGACCTTGAATTTTAATATGGTATCATTGGGTCTCTGTTTGGGTGCTAATAAGATTATTGGAAAAGCAGCAATATTAAATATTTGAGTTTTTTGTTTTACATGAATTGGGACCCCAGGAACAATGAACCTCTAGCCTACTTTCAACTATTTTGCTTATAAATTTTGAATGTTCAGAATCAACCATAACATGGGAGGGAAAAATTAGATTCAAACCTTTACTTCCTTCTTTCCTCTGTTTCTAGCTATAAAACAGAGTTTCATCCAAAATAATAGATACATTAACACATCTAGGCCATGTTTAATTAATAGGATTAATAGTGAGGAGATTAACAACCCATGTGATTAGTGTAGGATTAGTTATCCAATTGGATTAGTGGGATACATAATCTGTTCTTGTGCACGTTTGTTTTGCAATAGATATAGAAATATATAATCCCAATTATATGTTTGTTTTGCATTAGCAGTCTCTTCTTTGATTTCTTGCCTATCTTCTTTCATCTTCTATAGGAGACCTAGATTAGGTTCAATAAAAAATGATTCTATCATTTCTATATCTGCAATTCAATATAGATGAATATATACTACATATATATTTTTGTCCTTTTATCATTTTTTTCATGTAAGTTGTAGGATTCTATCGATTTTGTTAGATAGAATATCCATTGGAATCTAATCCGAATAACAAAAATTACAACCAAACACTAGAATGTGAGTCCCAATAATTAAGAATTTCCATCTTATGCTATAATCTGCCCAATAAGACAGGCCACTAATGTTTGATCTATCCTCAACTACACCAAATACATTGAACTAATCTCAATTCAAGTCCAAGACATACAAATACATTGAACTAATCTACTTCAACCATTTAAAGTTGAGTTTGGATCTTGGAATTATGAAGAGGAAAGGAAAAAAATGGGGAAAAAAAATCTTGGATTGTGGAGTGAATAGAAAAAGAAAGGAAAAATTAGAAGAAATTGAAATATATATATATATATATAATTTCAGTTTCATTTTCCTTTCCCATGACAATGCAAGATCCAAACATAGCTTAAGGAATCCTCGTTTGGTATCATGCTATTTTAGTAATTTTTAATTTTTTAATTAAAATATGAAGTAAAAAATTATGTTTAGGATGACTTTTTTTAAATTTTTTATGAAAAAATGTGAGAAAATTTGACTTTTTTATATAATTTGTCAAGTTTTTTAACTTTTTTTTAATAAGTTTTAGGCTAAAAAGTGATTCTCATTCAACGTAATATTGCTATCCATTTTATTATAAAAATACATGTCGGAAGGGTACAGAACCAAAATGTCAAATGCTAAAATATTGAAGAACTCAAAACCTAAGATAAAGAACAAACTTCAAATCTTGAAAATAAACAATAATAGTATATCAAACAAGACTCAAAAGCACTGTCATCTCTTCCCTTTCTATCATTTATAGGCAACCAAACAACAACAGAGCAAATTGGGATATACTGTTACGTTTACCATTGAGATTGAGAGTCTCGAATTGAACACCGATATTTGTATATGTTACAGGTAGTAAGGGGAAACCATAACAGCATAACTTATTATGAAACTCCTACATCAAAGTCTGCATTCAATCATAGGAACAAATCTAAGTGGCAGATGTTGATTTTTTTAAACCATTCTTAATTTAAAACCACACTGATTCAAGCTGACTGTCAAACCCACATTAATCTGGTTTATTCAGTTCATTTAGAATGATGCTCAGGAACAGAACACGCAAATTATTTATTTATTTATTTTTTGGGAAGGGACAAATAACTCGAGCACAATGTTCTTTCAATTCAATTCTCTACAAATCAAAGAAAAGGGTTTTACGAACCCACCAATAATTCATACATATATATATAATATACATGCACAACCAAAATCAAAATAATGCATAAAATATAATAGCAAACACAATGTGTTGCTAAAAAATAAGCCACGTAGCTAAAATTTTGGCGCCCAATGTGAGCCTATTAAGCAAACACAATGCTTCAGACAAAACTTCCGTGAAACTTGGGGAGTGACTGGAATCAGTGTTTATAAGTAAAAAGGAAGCAGTTCAGGACTAGAGAGACTAACCTCAGCTCTGCTTGTGGGGGTATTTCCATAATCCCTTGCCCTCAAACCATTTTGCTTGCTTCTTATAGAGCCATTTTGATGTGTTTCAGATTTGCCCCACGTGTGTGTGAGATCTGATCCAATGGAGTGGAGCATTCCACAAGTGGACATGTCCCTATTGATCCCTGATAATCAATGAGCATTCTTAGTTTCTGTTGTTGCAAAGTACAGAAACCACTAGATAATGAAGCATAAGCATGCGAGTATTCTGATCCACTTACCCATTTTCTGAAATTCAATGTGGTTGGACTTGTTATGTGATTCATTAATATCCAAATCCTGTTCAATTTGATAGAGTTCCAAAAGATCAACACAAAAATATTTCAAGATGTGTGCAATTATGAATTTCTAGAAAATTTTAAACATCACCATGGCATCAATGTCCAAGACTTTCTTGACTTCCATCAGTTTTTTCTCAGTCAGATCAGAATGGATTACACGTTTGCCTATGACATTTAACGCCAAAAAGTTTTAAAAAGCATTTAAATTTTTTTTAAAAAAATAGAACTTAAAATTTGACTGAACATACCTAGCCTCCGGTTACTTTTGGCATCAAGAAACCCATCATGGGTCATTATCACCTTCATCAACCATGTCATCCATTATCATCACAATTCTGCTGCTTATCTGTCAAAAGAACTAATGTCATTCACATTTCAAACTTCAGAGAATACTGGAAACACCTAATATGTAAACAAGCTGAAACAACCGAGCACAAAGACATGTAATTACCTATTGGCTCGACTATGTATTGGTTATCTAACGAATGGCTAACCTAAAGTGGGTTACAAATTGACAAGTAGTTAACTAAACACTTGTTCTATATGGTAAATCAAGCTTTCAGCAGTTAGTGAAGCTCATGGAGAACAAACAGTAAAGAAATGTTAACACAGTACCTCACTGACAGATTCAGAATGCTCATCCCTTTGTAAAAAATCAGCTCCCAGGCTCACATCATTGTCTTGAATGTCATCATTTTCATCTTCACAAGGATCAAGCATACTCTTAACCTACATAATTTCCAATTACAAAACTCAAAATCTCAACAAGGGCTCCAAGTGTCTCACTGTTCCTGTAATCTTATATCTTTACCTTGAGAGATAATACAATGTTTGTTGTTGACATTCCCAATCTCTCAATTTTCAAAGGATTTTTGGTCCATGGGCTATGAGCTTCTTGTTCTGTGCAGTTTTTGAAGAATGGAGGCTCATAATCCACAGGCTGCAAGATCAATAAATCAGTGATCATGTTTTTCGTGGTCAAATATGAACAGACAAAAATAAGGATTTTTAGTTGAATTATTGGACAGACTAGTGACAAGCCAGAACACCCAAATTCTGTATGATTCAGATGATGCTTTATCTTTGTTGACTTTTCCTATTTCAACAGTTTTGCAATTTGAAAAATACATAATTCTAACTGCGTGAAAAAATGACAAAAGTAACATAAAACATTTTAATGCTATAGCTCAAAACTTGAATCAAAGCAAGTCATTATATTTACAAGTGTACTTACTCTTTTCCATTTTTTATCCCACCCCAGTGAAGAACTAAGGTGCCACTAGTATTAGTGACCTGCATATCTATTTCTGATACAGAACCTGAAGAAGGAGCACTAACAACCACCTATTCAATTGGATAGGATACAAGAATCTCATGTTGAATACATTATCTATCTGAAAGATTTAGGTATTTGAATTCATCTAAACCCAACAAAATTTTTGGGGTCAATTACAAATGCAAAAGCCTATGGTGTTAATACCTGTAATTTCGTATTTCCATCAAGGTTGAACTTTCTGTGAGTTGCTACAATGAAAGAAATAGTCAAAATCAACTGATATCCAAACCAGTAACTCAAGTCATCGTCAGTAATATCTGTCATTGCTCTTCACATTGAAAAATTTTCAACCAAAATGGAAAAAACCCAAAAGCTGATTCCAAAAGTTATTCAATGGGCAAATTAAAATGGTAGTCTATGTACTTTGTTACTTCCTGTGTCATTTTACTCCCTATCATTTCAATTGACTCAATTTTAACCATGAATTTATCACTCTGTCTCAATTTGGTTCAATTGAGTTTTTTTTTTTTTTTATATGAAAAATAAACAAATAAGTGGCATGTGGGAAAAATTATAAACTTGAGTTAAAAATACTAACGAGATAATCAATTGGACTAATAAATTCATTCAATTGAACACAATGACGTAAGCGGTGCAAAGGGAGAAAAAAAATGTTAGAAATTGATGGTGTACCTTAGAAGTGGGATCGGTGACTAACATAAACTGTGGAAAAACAGAATGCACTCGATTTGTTCCCATCGGCAACTTCGTTTTCCGTAAATTCAGACATTTTCCTCAGAATTTGGAAGTGATATATGACTTTCGAATCTGTGAATTTGCCTGAACTTGAAACAAATTGTAACCAGAAATGCAAGAGGAATTGATCTTACTTTGATGCTCTAGCACCACAAGAGCAAGCAAATTATGGTGAATCAAATTATGGCCTATCGAATTGCTCATATTCTTCAGATTACGTTTAGAAACATAAAAGGCACAATTTATTTGAACATATTGTGTTTTTTTATCTTGGAGACCTCAGTCACTCACCACCGCTACAGGCCGCTACTGCTCGTAGTCGCCGCCAATCAAAGGATGTAGGGTTAGGGTTTGGAGAGAGGAGTGAATGAGAGATAGGTTTGGGAATCTAAAAAAAAAATGAATTGTATTGTGTGTGCTGTGTTGTGTGTCTGGGTTGCTATACTACGCAATAACAAAAAATAAAAAAGGTCAAGGTCAGTTTGAATTTTTATGAATCAGAAAAGAGGAAATTGTTTTATATAAAATTAAAATTAAAAAATATATATACAATCACACTTATTTAGAAAATATGATTAAAAAGGAAGATATAATCATACTTATTTAAAAAGTGAGATTAAAAACAAATATTATCACACTCACCCAAATTAAGTGTGATTAAAATATCAATTTAATTTTTTTTTATCACACTTTCACTAAAAGTGAGATATTTTCAATTGTCAAAGTATGATCTTTAACTTTTTTTTTGTAGTAGTGAAGAGTGAAATCATGGAGATGGATGAGGGGAGATTTGATGAGGGGAAAAAAAAAGGAGCGACTTTTAAGAGAGAATTTGCCATCGCCTGATAATCATATCACAACCAAAATAATAATAATAATAATAATAATAACAAAGCAATTTTTAGATTTGTTTTTTTGAAAAAATTAAAAATAATTTGAGAGCAATAAAAATCAAAATTATATTTTTAAAATTTTAAAAAGAATTTATGATGTAAAAGATAAAAATATACAAAAATAATAAGTATTTTTTATTTCACCCAATTTTTTTTAGTTTTTAGGGGAAAAAAAATTTAAAACTAGTTTCTGAAAATAAAACCAAACATATTGAAATTGATAATCTAAGCATAGTCTTTGAAAAAGTTTAATTATCTCAAATTAGTCATCTCAACTTAAGAGTGTGTTTGGGCTTAATGGGTTCATTTTGTGATCTAATTCAATGAGCATTTTAATTTTACAATTCAGTAATTAGAATATTTAAAACACTTTGAAAAATTGTAATAAAAAATACAAATCACTATATCACATCATTCCACTAGCAAAACTTATACCGACGAATAGTGTTATCGCCGCTAAATGGTTAACTCTTTGTCCACGCCAACTTGTTGTTGCCAAAAGTATGCACACTAATAGCAACGCTTATTGTGTTGCTAAAACATAAACCTCGTAGCTAAAAGTTCTAAAATTTTGGCGCCAACCAAAAATTTTGGTGCTAAAAGAATGTTATGTTTTTTTAGCGACGGTAGCAAATTGCGTCAATAAAGGTATACTTTTACCAACGAAATTGATCACTATGTCACCAAAAATATACTTTTGGCAATGAAAAATTGACGTCGTCGCCAAAAGTAGTTGCCAAAAGTGCAATTTCTTGTAGTGTGAACAGATAGAAATTCAAAACCAAATAATAGCACACAAAATCATATCAAACACATACTCATATTCAAAATAAGGACCAATTAACATAATACGGGATAGGGGTATTACAGAGCACCTCCCAAACCCAACCTGAACCGGTGGTGGTGACTGCCGAAGGCAGAACCGGGATGACTTTGGAAGCAGATGGGAATGATGATTCAGAGCCTGAGGGATCTGGGAGCTTTGCATACAACCCGGGTGGTTATATCACATCAACAGACCAGGCTAAGCCGAAGGTAGAGTTGCCAGTTGGGGCAGAGATCAGTGTGGTTCGGGAGGATGGACCTAGTCAGGGGCTAGATGACCTAGCCGAGCTGGAAGAGGATATTGCCAACCTTCAATTCTTCAATGAACAGGATCTGGGGGACATGACTGTCAACTGGTTTGATTTGGATGGGTCAGCAGAAAATACTGGGTGGCTCAATGATGAGCCAGATGTTGTTGAGACACCTTAGCCAGAATAGGGGCAATCAGGAGCTAGGACATCAGCAATGGCCCGAATGGCCGAGAATCAGAAAGAATCGCCGGAGAGCACTGGTGTTAAGAATTTTTCTCGGGAACCAGGCAATTTGAGTACGGTAGATACTGAACTGCAGGCTGCACTGAAGTAGTTTGAACAGGAAAGGATCGAAGATCTTGAGAGGGCTAGGAAGGCCAAAGCCCCTGCGGGGACGGAATCTGCTGTGTGCACATAAACAGTTGCAACGGAACTAGACAGCTGTCTGTTGGTTACCGACGGGATGTGGTGGAAAGATGACGACTTACGTCTTGTCCACACCGATGAAGATTGGGGCAGAACCAACCGAATGACACCTGGTATGTTGAAGAGGTTGACCATGTGACCAGGAGTGGGCGGTATTTCAAGCCCCCACACTTGGATCAACCAGAGGCGTCCGAAAAGGATAAAGAAGTGGAGAGGCAGAAAGAAAAACTACTGGAGGAGAAGGCTATACTGAAGCAGCTTAAGAAAATTCAAGCAAACATCTCCACCTGGGGACTGCTTATGGCCTCGAGGGTTCACAAACAGGCCGTACTTACAACCATGGATAGGGCCAAGCTTTTAATCGATACAACTCCTGAGCAGTTGGTAAGACTGATTTTTTCGGGAGGAGCTTTTCGGACTTTGACCTTCACTGACAAGGAACTGCCGCCTAAGGGCTCAGACCATAACAAACCGCTCTACATCTCTATCAAGTGTAGAGAGAAATGGATACCGGTGGTCCTTGTTGACACAAGATCTACTATCAACGCCTGTCCGTCGAGGACGGCATATGCTATCGGGTTGAAGCCCACAGATTTTGTGCCTACTGCCTAGGTGATAAGGGCATATGACAATACCAGCTGAGAGGTGATGAGAACTGTACAGATTCAGACTCAGGTTGGTCCAGGGCAACAGGATATTGATTTTCATGTCTTGGATGTCCCGACCACCTTCAATCTACTC